TAAATATTTAAAAATATAATTATATAAATATATATAATTAAATAATTAATTAAAAATAATTTTTTATATAATGTCGGGTCGGGTCGGGTTTTAGGAATACCCGAACCCTACCCGACCCCGACTGCTCCATAACTATACCCGATCGACCCGACCCGTACCTAAACCTGAAATTCAAAAAAAAAAAAAATCTGACCCCATAGAATCGAATAGAGCCGAAACCCGTCGGAACGGGTTTGATTGCCGTCCCTAGTTCCCCTCTAGCTTTAGGTTACCATTGTCTAGGTGAAATGAAAAACACATGTATAACTTAGGTTTTACTTAGAATAAGTGATGAGGTTAATTTTGATATCATTAAAAATAATAATAAAATTTATTATAATTGTGATTAAAAAAATTATTGTAATTATGATTTAAAAAATTTATATTAAATAAATTTCATCAAGATTAATATTTAAATATTAATAATAATATGATAAATTTAATTCTATCGTACAAAAATATAATAATTATACCTAAGAATAATTAAAGATAAAAAAAATTACTTTAATAAATTTTCGTAAAAAAATATATTTTACCTCATTACTTGAATCATAACTACAGTTGCTTTTTCAACCTAAAACACATCTATAAAAAGAAAGACATTACGAAGAAAAGTAATAGATGAATGAAAAATAAAAAGGAAGAGAAAATTGACAGTACAAAAATAAATTAAGAACACTCAAAGGCTGCAAAAGTGGATTACCTGAGACATATTTAGGTGGATTTACCATACTCGTGCGAAAGTTATAAGAAACAACCTGTTGTTAGTAAATATTTGGTCAAAGCTGCAATTCTTTTCACATGATTTATTGAGAACATAAAAAGAAAAAAAAAAAGCGAAAAAGAGCGCTTAGTAATATTACAAGTTACACGTTAGAATAAATGTATTGAGTTTAATTAATGAAAGGAAACAATAAATTTGTATGTACCACAAATGTTAGATATTCCTTTTGAATTTAAAATAATGTATGGATAATTTTTTTTTCTTGGATGGTAATTAAGCAGAATGGACAATTTTATTTTAATTAAGATGAATTTGGTAGTTTGATATATAGGACAGTAATTAATTTTAATTCTCTATCAAATAATCCTATTCAATTATTTATTTAATTTAAAAATATTTGAAACTAAAAAAATATTAAGGAATTTAATATGAAAAAGTTATTTACATTTTAAATATTGTTCATATATATTTGAAAAAAGGGGAGTTGATAAATTTTATTTAATTTAAATTAAGATAAAAGATTTGAATAAGTCTAATTTTTTAATTTCAAATATTTTTAAATTAAATAATTAATAGAATATGATTATTTCATACATTAATTACTGTCCTATGAGTTTAAAATATAGATTATCTATGTAGGCATCTTCATGACATACCTTATCAGATATTCATATATCTTGTAATATAATATATATACATATGTGATATCCTATAATTAGTTCATTTGATCTTTTTTTTTAACAAAAAAAAAATTTGCTTTCACATTAAAATTATTAATTGTTAATTGTTAATTTTATTTTTATTTTTAATTTAATTCTATGTATTGCAATTTAAGAAGAATTAAAATCATATTATTATTTGTCTATTTATCATATCTAAAATTATTATTTACACACTTTTAAGGTCATGTTTGATATGAAATAATCACTCCAAATATTATTATAATTTACATATGATAATTATATCATGTGTTTGATAAGTACTTAGTGATCATATGTGACATTGACCTTGGATCATTGAGAGTAATTAGGTCACTTCCTTGGAGAATGGTCTAATTCTCATATAAAATAGTGAGAAACTTTTATCGTTGAGTCGAAGTAATATATAAAATTAATAATAGTCAATATTATTCATGTAATATATGAATTAAAACTTGTTTTCTCATAAAATTATAATTATTTTATGTTATAAATATTTATATTTTCAAACAAATATTCATGATAACATGTTCAAAAATAATTTGTGTATTTTTTTACTTTTTTTAATGCTTTATATAATATAGTTTTTGTTTTTCTTTTAGTATGATTTTAATAGAATATTTTTTTCTAATACAAATATTTTTTTACATAATTTAAATTATAAATTTAATTTACCTAATAAATAAATATAACTATTAATTTAATAATTTAATTATGTTTTATTATATAAAATAAATAAAATATTACTATATTTTATAAATTATTATCATTAAATAACATTAAAATTATTAAGTTATGTAATTATTACAATATGCATGATTATTTTTGTATTTTTAAATAAAATAATATTTAATTTTTAGTAATATCAAACATAATAATCTTTTATTTTTATAAATTAATGATTATTAACCAAATAAAATAATTTCAAAGCATGAGTAATAAGATCATTTTGGTAAAAAGATTACCTTGATGGCTACATTATTAGAGTAATCTTGAAAATAATACAAAACACTATCTAAAAATAATAGACCTATCATAAATATTAAGTCAAACTCATATTATTTTTAAATATATAATTAACTTTTTAACTTTCTCAGTAATATTTCAAAATTTGCAACCAAGTATAAAATATATATATATATATATTTCAGTTTACTCCATTTATTTTTTTATATTTTTGTGATTATTTTAATTTTTTTATTTGATAAAATTTCAAATAAATTATATTAATTACTCAAAATTTTTATTTTATATTTATATTTGATTCATACATCAAAATATATTGAAAAGATCCGCATATTCACCTTTCTTCTAGGCTACGCTTAAAAAAAAAAAAAGTAAAAACGTTGAAAAATTTTGTGAAAATGATTTCTGTATGGCTGATGAGAGAGCGTTCTTCTCCAATGCACGAATCCCCATATGGCTTATTAATGGCCAAGATTTTGCCTATATTCTTACCTTTATTAATTTGGCCACCAAAGAATGATTTTTGCCTTCTTTCCCGTTCAGCGCCGGTCTTCCTAGGATATCCAGCCCCCCACACCGGCCCCCGGCCCGCGAATATCACTTTTGGAGCCAGCTGTCCAAGAATGGATACGGTTAATTCAAAAGCCAGCTGTTCAAGCACTATTTTAATTTTTTTTTGATAAAATAATTAGGTTTATAGTTTAATTCATGTTTTATATATATTATTATAAATGAATTAAGATTGAAGAATTTTATTTTTTAGTTATAAAATTAATTTATTTAATTAAAAGTTCACCAAGAGATATGAACTTCAACTTCATGATTAAGCTTCTAAAACACCCCTGCCACTGCATATATTAATTCTTTACAAACATCCAAAAGACAATTAAAAAACTCATCAAAGATGCAAATACGTAGGATGTCTGGAATTAGTAGTATATAATTTAAACTGATGGGAATTAGCTTCAAATATTTGCACTAGTGACTGTATTTATTGTGTGTGTAATGTTAATGCTACAAATCAGTTGTCTGTAGGGCAGGTGACACTTCTTCAAAACTCTCGCAAAAAACTTTTTTTTTTTAATTTGGTAATATTAAAATTAAAAATTCAACATTTTATTAATCGTCCCTTTATTGGCTAAGCTCTAGCAGCTTGTTGAGCAGCTTTTGCTCAACTGCTCACAAGTGCAGTTGAGCTCTTTGATCCGTTTTTGTTTTCAACCTGGGATGATATGGGCCAGCTGGGCTTAAACCGGGGAACACAGACTATATTCATGAGCATGTGTATCGTTGGGGGTTCCGAATAAGTGCCACAAATGATTAACAAAAGTTTCAAAATCGACACTTTTAGCCTTCACCGATTAGATTCGGCAGATTTTTTGGGACATGCGTATCTTTCTCACCGGTTAGTACGATAATTAACTAGTACACATTACAGCAATAGAATGAGTTGGTTCACTTGAGGCTCCAGTTGCTGGTTGTATAGGATTCAGATTATCAACTTCTGAAAAAATCTGATAGTGTTTTTGGATGTCTTTGATCTAAGAAAAGGGGTAAGGTGAAAGGAGAAGACAACTGTGACCTCAGAAAACATAATTAATGGGTTTGGTGTTGTTAATCCGATGCGTGCTCTGAGGCTTAAATTAATATTATGCTTGAGGTAAGGTTAAAATAAAAAAAGAAGATCATGATGGTAAAGTGTGTAAGACGAGTTTCAATGGAAAGAAAGTTCAAAAGACGAGAGATCTAGTCTTTATTATTTTGAGTATCTAATTTTTTATTTATCTCTTATTTGAGATCAAAGGTGATAGTTTGACTAAAATAATTGATAGTTGATACTTAATAAAATATCTATATAAAATTCGATAAAGGATTATTTGAGTGTACAAAAATTACATTTATGGAGTGCAAAGATATGATAATTGATTTGAAAATTTATACATTTTACAAAAGCACCATACACCATATGTGTCAACTTATTAAGAATTGCATCTTTACTTAATATGAAATTTTTATTCATTTAATTTAATAATTATTTTATTATTATATTTTTAATATAATTTATTAATATATTTTATTAGACATAATTATTAAATATTCAAGTAAGATATAATAAATATATTTTTATAGCAAACTATATAAGGTTGATTCTGTTGTTAATCCTTTTAAAACTATTATCTAAAATCTATTCAAATCTATCACATATAAATATTCAAATATGACATAAACAAATTAAATGATAATGCATATCGCTTAATTCACCATCCTATGTTCCACCCTTTATTGACTGCACCACCAACGAGCGCTTTTCCACTTGTTTCACCGTTCAACGTTGATGGAATATCGGGCCTGGTCCAATATCATCTTTTGAAGGAACATATCATTTATAATAATTGTGATAAAATTAATTAATTATGATTTAAAATTATATTAAAATCATCAAATATGAAATTCACATTTACAAGAATTCTTATATAATTTTTATTATAATTAGAATTATAATATTATAATAAAAAATTGTTATAACATAATTTATTGACAGAGATATGTGACACAAAAATTCTAATTATAACCTATTTTGATTTTTTTGATTTAATTTTTTATACAATCAACCTCAGAATATGAGATATAAAACTTAATTGTTATTGATAATAAAAAAATTGTACATAAAACTCAGGTAATTCGCAAGTTTTTCAGAGTGTAAGGCACGATAATAGATGTTGCTGTTAAGATTGGAAACGTGTGCAGACTCATCTCTATTATTTGGAACCTGGAAAATTGCGTATTCTTGCACAAGTCCTTGACTGATTTTCTAGTCACTTTCCCAAAAGAAGTGTAAAAAGACTTACTCAAACCTCAAAACTACCATTCTTACATTAGCAGGTCAGCTCATTGCAAAACAGGAGGCATCCACTGCAACACAAACTGTAAGAGCTCAAAGAGGTAGCCACTCAGTTTACTAGGGTTGGACAAATTTGTCTAATGCAGAAGTGTCCAAAGCTTGAAATTCCTTCACAGCAGCTGCCACTTCGAGTCCAAGTTTCACAGCATCTTCATGGCTTGGTGCCTGCAATGTGTTTATTATCATCCAGCTTAGAAATTACAGTGTTTATAACATCTTATGCTAAAGTTGATACTGCTTTCATACCTCGATGTTAAGAGGAAGGACAGGATCATGAAGTGAAAGCCTAAGAAGGAACCACCCTCCATAGCCAGAAACTCGAACCTGTTTTCAGAAGGAAGTTAGCGAAACCCGTTTGGTAAAATGGTGAAATTTATAACTGTCCAATTTTTGTGGCCACATTTGTCATTCAGTTTGAGTGATTATTTCAACAAAGAAGCCTAGATAATTCGATGTCTGAAGCCTATATCAAACTTACCCCTTCATAGTTAACTGGTGCTTTGGGATCTGAAGCAATATGGTTAACCAAGTGCTCAGACCAACTTCCCCATAATCCCGGAAAGATCTGCAAGTTTCGAACTCTCAGCAACTTTAACAGAAATCAGGCAGACAGAAAGATTGGAGCCATATAAAACACCATACCCTCCTTTAAGATCAGGATGACACTGATTAATCTTTAGTCGCAGTTCCACGGCAAAAGCTGGTTCCTCCAGACCGTCAACTAGATCTGTTAAAACTTTGCTTCCATCACCTCTGCCAGAGGCCCTTGCTGAAGCCAGTTTATTTAGGAGTTTGACCTGCACTCAGCAGGTCAAATAAAACGGCATAGATGGATTAGTCCATGTGCATTTAAGTTCATACTTTGGTTGAAATATACAGTCCAAATAATATGCAAGAAGAGGCTTGTCCACCCAGATTAAAAGCTTACCATCAAGTATGCCCCATCATCGAGCCAGTGATTCTCCTTGAGAGCTCCATGGCCACTGGTTTCTATAGCCAGATGTGATTCTTCTCCAACAGAGTTCTGTGGGAAGTTCTTTTACTTTAGTTTCAAAATTTTTCAACACATAACAAAGAACTGAAAGTTAAACAAGATGATCAGCTGTGGTATAATAGGCGACAAGGATCTCCAATACCAAACAATGACAGCAGGATATGTCACATTATGTTCAGGCATTCTGTTGCTGAGTAGAAATTATAACATACTTAAGAACGAACATAGCAAGCGATGAAAATGGGGATCAAGAATTTTGCCAATGACTAATGGTAGAAAAAGATCAACTAATTTTGTATGAAGCATGCAGATGAGATTTGTTCATCCCTGTATAAACCAATATCAATCTTTAAAGTTTTAAGTTCCTTTAAATGCCAATGGATCATATAACTAATACTCAGAATAGTGTTTGGCAAAAACTACTGGTTCATATGAAGTTGTTAATATCCCATTAAGTCATTCAGATCCAAGCTCTTTTTTATTCATCTTCTAGCACCCCACATAACTGATAGAAATATAATAAAACCAAGATAAAAGAAAATGAAATTTACCAAACGAATTGCCTCATCAATGACATTCTTATAGCCTCCTTTGAATCTATGGTGCTTTCCCCCTAAAAGAAATTGCAAGTTATAAGTTTGCTCTAGAAGAAACAAAGCAAATACTTAAGTGTCAGTTAAGTTTTTATCATACCAAGTTTCTTTTCAATGAATGAAGTAAGCCCATCTGAAGCCACACTATCTGTAACAATGGTTGTTCCTGGATGCTGAAGAGAAGAAGATGAGGAGATTAAATGAGAGGAAAACTGAATAATAAAAAAAAAAATTAATTGCTTAATTGATATAAAAAATAAATTTGTTATAAAAAAATGTTTACATAAAATCCAAATGTAGTAAGTATTTATAAATATGAGGAAAAATAAGACAAATAGATTTTTTATCGTTTTATTCTTTGGAATTTCATTATGTATTGTATGGTTTATAAATTTAATATAAATTTCATCTGACAATGATAATTTGATTTTTAAGATTAGAAAAAATAGATGTATGAATTATTTAAAAATAATAATTATTTTTTCAAAAAATATTTAAAAAAATTTTAGCATAAATAAAATAAATAGATGTGTGCATTATTGACCTATGGATTATTTTAAAAAAATTCAAAAAATCACAAACAAAAACAATTATTTTTTTCGTATGAAAACAGAATATTAAAAAAAAAAAAAAACTAATGCTGTAATTTACTCTGCTTCCATAACTAATTAACAGGGCTAACAATTTTAAATAAAACATAGTTATAAAATATTAAAATATTATAGAAAAAAATTAAAATGATATGTTTTAAAATTTAAATAAAAATTATACATAAATTTAATAAAAAATATATATAATTTATATTTAATATGTTGACTCGAATCATATTTTACACTTGTTATACATTAAATAAATAAATACAAATATACAAATAATTAGCTTTTAAATGTTTGTTCTCGTTTGAATATTTTCTTCTAGGATAGGCTAAACTAATCTTTGGTCAAAAATTAAAACTTGCCAGGTTGTATGGATGAGGATTGCCTGAGAAATAAAGTAAAGGAAATGGTTAATTAATTAACAGGCAAACAAATTTTGGGAAACCATTGATTCAATCTAGCTTAGCTTGATAATTTGTGTTATCATATATTGTAAAATATTATATTCGTATCATATTTTATAAAAAAAATTATATATCATAATTCGTATTAATATAAAAATATAAAATATAATTTTTTAAATTTTATTAAATTTATTTATATTTTTTTAAATTTTAAATCGTTTTATATTCGTATTTTTTATTCGCATTATTTTCGTATTATATGTTTCAAATTATTAAATCTAAATCCAGCATCGAAAAGTTGGCACCTAATCTTTAACAAAAAAGGAAAGGTATTGGTAGCTTAATCTTGACTTAATTACGAAGACCAAAGCTTAAATTTAATTATTCTCCTTGTCTCCTTTTTGTTTTTAAATTTTTAGATGTTTCAAAATTTTTTTTTATTTTTTTAATATTTAAAATTATTTTACTTTTTAATATTAAAAATTATGAAAATTTAATTTTATAAAAAATTTAATTTTAATATTAAATTATTGAAATCAATTTTTTTTTAATTCTGAAAATCAATATAAAACAAATAAATAGAAACGAATAAAGTATTTATAAGCTTTCAAGTATTATAAAATGAAATGTCTCTTTCTACTTTCTACAATCAAAATATTTTTAAAATCTGTTTGGATTCAAACACATATTGATATGGAATGTGATTTGAGCACTTTTTGCTAAATTTACAAAAACAAATTAACAATACCTTTTGAAAACAATTGATTACCTGATCTTTAACAAAAAAGGAAAGGTTGGTAGCTTAATCCGTGACCTAATCATGAAGACCAAAGCTTAAATTTATTTATTTATAAGCCTTTTAATGTTATAAAATGCAATGTCTCTTTCTACTCTCTACATTAAAAATATTTTAAAACTATGTTTGGATTCAAGCATGTCTTGGAGTGTGATTTGATCACTTCGTGCTAAATTTTCAAGAATAAATTAATAATAAATTAAGTTTGAGACACAATCAATTTATACTGATATAAAATATTTGTTAATAATTAATTTTAATAGATCCAAAAAATGAAAAATAATTTAATCTCATCCTTAGATTTGTTGAAATTAATCATTAAAAATATATAAAATGTAAATTTGCATCTGCCATTGTTTTATTCTTGTATGTGCAACAATAAATTTATGAGATTAAACTAAAATTACAAGTAGATATATTTTTTTGTTAAATTTAAAGTTTAATTTAAATTATTCATTCATGAATTAATTTTCAAAAAGATAAAAATTTGATCCCTAACATGTGCAAATATTTTTCCCTTAATTTCTCTTAGGCTTTAGTTCCTATGTAAAATATATATATTTCTTTATTGACATATATATATATATATATAAATTGTTAATCAAATAATAATATTTTAAAAAAATGAGCTTATTATTTTATATATGTTGAATTATTGATTCTTCCAGAGCAAGAAATTGATTTTTTAAAGATGTTCAATCTGAAAGAATCAAAGATTCTTAAAAGTGTTATTAAACAGTTTAGACCATACCACCCACAAAACCATTCTTGGTTTTCTTCGTGGGAAAGGACTACTCCCAAAGGAAACGTGGCTCAAATGATTCCTGCCTTTTTAAACTACTAGTACAATTAATGTGACGTGAATGACGTGACATTCAACTTGAAAATGACTACAAAGAAATTTTTTGGCTTTAGTATAAAAAATATTTGAATTAAAATTAAATAATTATTTAAAATTTTGTAGTTTTTACATATCTATTTTTTTAATCTTTTATTGGACGAAAATTGATAAATTATTATTATCAATTTTCAGCTATTAAGAATTTAATTGTGTAAAAATAAATATTAAAAATTTAATTGAATAAAAATAAATATATAAAAATTCAATTAATTGTAATAAGAGGATAGATAATTGGATAATTATTTAATTTTATTTCAAGAGACTTTTTTATATTTAAGTAAAACTTTTTTATTAACCATTTACTGGTTATGCTGCAAGATGAAAATGTTTGAAAATTTTCAGTTTGAACAAGTGCATCCTCAACAAATTTACCATAGCTTTGTCTTAGTTTCTGCCACTTTAATGTTATCAATAAATGATTTATGTGCTCTATGTCCTAGGAAACTGTTAATAATTCCAAAATGCAGTTGTGGTTGTCAGTATTTGCTGGTTAAGAAGTTTACGTAAGCTCATAGCTTCTGCAATGGTTCCAAAATGCAGTTGTGCACTGCATTTTTGTTACTTTTAACTAGTTTTGTTTTTCAAATTTGAAAATATGGTGGTTGAGCAAAGTGTTAGTTGTGGTTCCAAAATTTTGAAAAGAACATCTATTATAATATATATATATATATGTAACGATAAATTTATTAATTTTACTGATTAAAAAATATTTTTAAAAGATTAAAAATGTTCAAAAAAAAGTTTCTCTAACCTTCCTTTCAATTTTTTTCTTTTTAAAGAAGAAATTCAATGGTAGATAAATTGTTCAATCTTTTAGATCAGGGTAAGATGTATCATATCTGATAACTTAAAACAGGTGGTTGCAAGTCGTGCATTCGAGATGACCTCAATAAGTGATCATCGATAGAATTCGAACTCAAAATTTTTTTTTATCAAGAAGGATAAACTTAATTGATTGAATCAATAATTTGTTGATTTTTTCAATCTTTTTACTGTCTATAAAGTGATTCCATGTGCTCTAATTCAATACTATACAAAAGTATTACCAAAGTGTTAAAAAAAAAAAAAATTTATGTTGACGTAGATATGCTTTTAACCTATATCAACCTTAATTAAATAAAATCTCTACCATCTTGATTAGAAATTCAAAAATAAAACTTTTATACATTTTAAAATTCATGAGTCAAAAAGAGAATTTTTGACATCTTT